CCGATTAGACCTCTGAGAAACGTTACGATCTACAAACAAAACACAACATATTCGATGAAAGCTCAAAGGGGGATCTGGAGATCACATGATCATCATCATCATCATCATCATCAGCAGCAGCAGCAGCAGCATCACCATCATCACCATCATCATCATCATCATCATCATCATCATTGTCATCCTCATCCTCATCCTCATCCTCATCCTCATCCTCATCATCACCATCATCATCATCATCACCATCATCATCATTGTCATCGTCATCGCCATCGACGTCGACGTCGACATCGTCATCGTCGTCGTCAGCGCCACCATCATCAGCACCAGCATCGTCAGCATCTTCACCATCTTCATCGATCGTCGTCGTCATCGTCATCAACATCATCGTCATCACTAGCAGCATCATCAAAATCATAATCGGCCTCATCACCAACATCATCCTCATCATCGTCATCCTCGTCGTGTGCAGCATCGTCGTCGTCGTCGTCATCATCATCAGGATCATCATCAACAGCATCGTCAGCGTCATCGCCGCCATCATCAGAGGGTGAGGGGGATGGGAGAGGAGGAGCAGCAGCAGCAGCAGCAGCAACAGCAGCAGCAGCAGCAGGGGGGAGAGGGGGAGAACCAGGAGCAGCAGGAGAGAGGGAGAGGGGGAGGGAGAGAAGGAGAACAGCAATATGGGGAAAGAGAGTGGGAGGAGCAGATATGAGCAGGTGGAGGGAGAGAGGGGAAGCAGCAGCAGCAACAGGAGGGAGATGAGGCGAGGGGAGGGAGAGGGAGAGGGGGCGACTACGACGACACGCACACGCACGCACGCATGCGCGCCCACATACACATACACATACACAACCACATTCAAAAACATACACACACAGACGCACAAACACATACACACACGCACCCACACGCACACGCACACGCACACGCACACGCACACGCACACACACACACACACACACACACACCGATCGGAACCATGTTAGGCTTTTGTTGTCAAATGGTACCGAATCCTGCTCACCACGGACCCCCCCCCTTTTGAAAGGGGAGGGGGGGGGGTCCCGACGACGACCAGGAAAGGGGGGGAGGGGGGGAGGGTCCCCGACGACAGATCGGGGAAGGGGGGGAGGGGGGGGTGGGGGGATTCCCCGACGACGGATCGAGGAAAGGGGGGGGGAGGGGTTTCCCCCCCCCCCCTGGGGAGATCCAGCGGCGCGCCCTCCGAAAAAGGTGCGGTGGGCGCATGCGAACGCAGCCGCGCTGGGGCCGTCGGTGGAGCTCCCTATGGGGCCACGAAACGTGTGATGGGTGTGCCGAAATATGTGCGGTGGGCGCATGCGGACGCAGCCAATTGCCCCTTCGGTGGGGCTTCCTGTGGGGCCACGAAACGCGTGATGGGGTGTGCCGGAATGGGCGTGGGTGACGCGTGCGGGCGGTGGCACTGTGGCCTTCGCTGGATTTCCCCATGAGGCCACGAAACGTGTGAAGGGTGGGACGAAGTGGGTGTGGGTGAAGCATGCGGGCGGTGCCAGTGGGGCCTTCGGTGGAGCTCCCTATGGGGCCACGAAGCGCGTGAGAGGTGTGCCGAAATGCGTGTGGGTGACGCATGCGGGCGGTGGCACTGTGGCCTTCGCTGGATTTCCCCATGAGGCCACGAAACGTGTGAGGAGTGTGCCGACATGGGTAAGGGTGAAGCATGCGGGCGGTGGCACTGGGGCCCTCGGCGGTGCTCCTTGTGGGGCCACGAAACGTATGAAGGGTGTGCGGAAATGGGTGTGGATGCCGCATGCGGGCGGTGGCACTGTGGCCTTCGGGTGATGGGTGTCACGACATGAGGGGTGGCTCTTTATGGGGCCACGAAACGTGAGATGGGTGTGCCGACATGAGTGTGGGTGGCGCATGCTGGCGGTGGTACTGGGACCTTTGGTGGAGCTCTCTATGGGGCCACGAAGCGGAATGGGCGTGGGTGACGCATGCGGGCGGTGGCACTGGGGTTTCAGTGGAGCTCCGCTTGGGGCCACGAAACGTGTGAGGGTTGTGCCGACATGGGTGTGGGTGACGCATGCGGGCGGTGCCACTGGGGCCTTCGGTGGAGCGCCCTATAGGGCCACGAATCTTGTGAGGGGTGTGCCGGAATGGGTGTGGGTGACGCATGCGGGCGGTGGCATTGGAGCCTTCGGTGGAGCTCCCTATGGGGCCGCGAAGCGTGTGAGGGGTGTGCCGAAATGGGTGTGGGTGACGCATTCGGGCGGTGGCACTATGGCCTTCGGTGGAGCTCCCTATGGGGCCACGAAACGTGTGAGGAGTGTGCCGACATGGGTAAGGGTGAAGCATGCGGGCGGTGGCACTGGGGCCCTCGGCGGTGCTCCTTGTGGGGCCACGAAACGCTGTACTGGGATGGTGAAACGCAGGGAGGAGGGAGGAGGGGGAGGAGGAGGGAGGGCAGGAGTGAACGCGGGGACCGTCTCTTCAAAACTAAGATTCAACACCACAGGATGCCTGGGAGAAGTCACGTATGAAACACGCGTACCCCCCCCAACCCGAAGTTCGGGCCTTCGTGGTGGGCTGGTGTGGTCTGGTAGGTAAGTAGGTCAAGCTCGAAAAACAAAACAAGCTGCGCAAGCATCAACTTCTCGAGCTCCGCGCGCCATGGAGGGGGGCCCAGCGCTGATCTAACACATTCGCGCTGACCGTCGGGAGTTATATGTTTATGCAGCTCTGTCTTTCCCTATTCTCGCACGAGCTCCACCCGCCCTGAGATCCGGGCACTAATTTTTTGTTCACGCTGATCGTTTTCGCCTAGTTTTTCGGGCCTTTACATATGGACCTGGCTCGAACCATGCAGCGGACAGATGGAGTCCAGGGCTCCCTCGTAATTTCAGTCGCTACGTGTTTTTCTCGCAGCGTCGGATACCAGGACACGTCCTTCAGATTATTAGGCTCATTTTCGAACTCCAGGGGCCCTCACGGGACCCCTGCTGCTGAGATCACCGCGGGGGTTGCTAAGGGCATAGGGAGGTTAGAATCGAATGCTAAGGTGGGTTGTACCTGGCCGAATCTAGTTCATTAATGAGTTGCAGGTGCCCTAAGTGGGTTAGATGGGCGAGCGATCTGGGCTAAGTGGGCTCCGCCCACTTAGCGAGGTCATCTGAAGCCCCTAAATCAGTGGGGGCGCCTGTAAATCGATGATCACCTAGGGTAGGCCAGATATAACCCACCTTAGCAGCATCCACTTCTGAGCCCCCCATCCCCTCAGCCACCCCCGCGGTGATCTCCGCGGATCGTCCGAACACAAAAAGCCTCGGGACTCGGGAAAAAAAGAGCCCGCCCCCCATGGGACGAGATTTGGACCTCGGGGGGTCCACGGTGCTAAGGCACCACGTCTTCGGGAGCCCCCGAACCCTGGTGGTGAGATATCAGGTGGTGACCTGGAATCCCCAAGAGTCACCGCTGGGTTTTGGAACACGTGGTCACCGCCAGGCTCTATGTGACTCCCGGATCCTTCAGTGTTCGGGACGCCCTCGAAAGCAGACGAGTCCCCAAGCTTGGTGGTGGCGCCATGTCGCCCGAAACTCGCCGCCGGGTGTTGTCACCACCAGATTGGGCCGGAGGATCTCGCAGCATCGCCGATGCATCGACGATGCGGCTCGATGCGGAGCCCGATTTGCTTCACGTCGACGTCTCCGATGCATCGCCCACATCGACGATGCATCGCTTGTGCATCGCCAATGCATCGCCGATGCATCACCGATGTATCGGCGATGCGGCGCGATCTTCCGACCCCAGCTACTCCGACTCCATCTAGGAGGCCTCTAAACAATCTGGCAACGATGGTTCTGATTCTCTCATTACTTATTTGTATTTCTACATGTGTATATGTTTACACATACATGCTTTTCCAACATCTGCCTTTAGGAGGACATGCCCGACCTAATATTAGCGCGTTTTGTGCTCTGGTGGCTGTTTTCTTCCAGAATCTGCCTGTAGGAGGACCTGCCCGACCTAATGTTCGCGGGCTTTGTGTTCTGGTGGCTGTTCTTTGCCTCTGGGGGGCCTGCCTGTGGTAAAGGTATCTTGAAGTTTCACCCAGCGGTTGGATAGCCATTGCTTCAGACTCTGCAGCTTGGCATGAACTTGTCAGACGGGGCTAGGATGAGGATAACACCGTCCCAGAGGAACGCTCTGAGAAGGCCGCGGCGCCCGATACATCCTCCAGAGCTTCCGGATGTCAGAGGTCTTGTCCTCGTCCAGGCTTCGACTTAGTTCGAGGCTGTATATTGTTCGATCGACGACAGAGCGCTGCGGCGCTGGCCACCCAGCGTTCGGGGCCGAGCTTTGCTCTTGACGTGGTGTCCGTCCGTGCGTGGAGGGTCCGCTCTGCCGTTCCCGGGGCCCGCTGGCCATGCCCCGGTCCACCTTTCGGATCGGCGGCGAGCGAGGGGGGTAAGTTCGATGGCAAATCATGGGAGCCTGTTTGTGCCCTCTGAATTCAGTCTTCAGCGTCGATTAGCAGCGATGAGCGTCCGGAGTCGATGAGTCTTCGCCGATGTAGCGTCGGTTAGCGTCGATGAGCAAGAGCTGACAATATAGTCTGGAAGGCTCCCATGAGTTACCACCGAAGGGGGAAGTGAGACAGAAGGCGGCGGGACTTCTCAGAAGCCTTCGCGCCTTTGAGAAGTTTTCTGCGTCTTCGAGGCAGGCTTGGAAAACTTTTCAGAAGGCCGGGAGACTTCTGAGCCTTCCGAGAAGGCCCGCCCCTTCTCACTTCCCCCCTCGCTCGCCGCCCCAGCCCACCACTTGAGTGAGCAAGACCTGCATCAACCTAATTAAATTGTTGGGGCTCCTCGCGAATTTCTTGGATCTGCGCTGAAGCCCCCTGGCGGCTCCTCCGCCCCTGGCACGCTCCGCGGTCCGCGCGCCAATGAGGGGGGTCCTGCGCGGAGCCAGGCGTCGCAAGCTTATGGCTACGCCGTCATTTCTTGATCTCACCACGGCACGAGGTGGAGCGGCTGCTGGGGCCGCTGCTGGCCACCGGCGACCCGCGCGCCCCGAAGGCCACCGTGACGTTCAACACCGGGCTCAAGGCCTTCGCCAACGCGGGCGACCTGCCGGGGGCCGAGCGCTGGTTCGGGGAGAGCCAGGGCAACGCTGGGGGGCAGCATCCCCGAGACCCTGGCCTTGGAGTGTTTGTCTCACGGCGGGCGTCTTCATCCTCCTCCTCCTCCTCTTCCTCCTCCCTCCTCCCTCCTCCCTCCTCCCTCCTCCCTCCTCCTTCCTCCTCCCTCCCTCCTCCTCCTCCTCCTCCTCATCCTTCCTTCCTTCCTTCCTTCCTTCCTTCCGTTTTCGAGCCCGGGGCCCTCACAGAAACGACGCAGAACATGGGGTCTACGGCTCCGGTCGTCCTTTTTTGAGGTGTTGCATTTTGTTCGCAGCGTTCGGATCTCAGGGATACAGTCAACCCGTATAAGAAGGATGCGCGGTAAGGATGCAAGGGCCTTGGAGGGCCACGTTCATGTTTTTGGTGAGGCTGGCCAGCGAGAGCGGCCAAGGATGGACCGAGGATGCAAGGATGCAAGGGTACCCCTTGGGAAGGGTGCCCATCCTTACTGTGCTGGTCGACTGTAGGCTCGGGGGAAGCATCGGATCACAGCTCGGACTAATGGCGGCCGTGTTCGGGACGGCCCGTGCACCCCATGGAAAGCCTTCGACGAGGCGCAGCCGCGGGAGGGCATTTCGAGGCCGGAAGGCCGCCGAGAACGACGGGCCTGTTTTCCACTACCACCACCATAAGTTGGAGGGGGAGGGGGTCCTCTTCTTCTTCGTCCTCCTCCTCCTCCTCCTCGTCCTCCACCTCCTTCCCCCCTCCAACTTATGGTGGTGGTTGTGGAAAACAGGCCATCGGAGAACCAACGAAAGCGCCCACAAACCTGAAACCTCGAGCCTCGAGCCTCGAACCTGGAGCCCCCCTGAGCTGCCCCATCCCTCACATGTTGCCGCTCAGGAGATGCGCGCCCGGGGCGTCCGCGTCAACGCGAAGACTTACGGCAAGCTCGCCGAGGCGGCGGCCAAGGCGGGCGACGCGGTCGCCGCGGAGCTCGGGGGGCGCGGAAGGGAGGGAGGGGGAAGGGGAGCACCCGTGCGAGCGGAAAATCCGACTCGAGTGAGCTGGCCCGAAAGCGTTTCACGGTGCATCGGCAGCTGAAGCCGAAGCCAAAGCTGAAGTGCACAGAGAAATGGAGAAGGCCCACTCTGGGAAGCGAGGAGGGCAACGCGAGGGGGTGTGCCTGGACAGACGGCAGGGCCCGTCCTTCTCCTGCCCGTGGCATCGCTCGGTCGTGTGCATCTGCGCCAGCGAGGCCAGCACTGAGTCGGGCATGTCCCTCTACATGAGGAAAATTCTGGAGTGTTATGATTTCTGTCATTTTTTGGACTATTGTTCGGTCATTGTTGGTACGTACATAAAAGGAGTCGGGTGATGTTTTTGTTTTATCATGTGTCTAGACTGTGTTTGGATGTTTGTGATTAATTTTCTATATTTCCTCCAAAACACGCCTGTAGGAGAACATGCCCAGAAATCTGGACCATATTGGAGCAGCTTGGATCTTCTTGAGAAGCAGGAGACGCACGATATCAAACAATGCACAGGGACTGGACGTCCGCGGGATGGCAGGTATACCTGGATCGGCGCGGGTGTTGCCAAGGTCCAGGCCTCCAATATGGAGTCCAAGCGGATGGGTCGGATGATCGCGCCGCGTCGCCGATGCATCGGCGATGCGGCTCGACGTGGAGCCCGATTTTTTCCCACGCCGACGTCGCTGAAGCATCGCCGATGTCGCCGCTGCATCGCCGATGTACCGGCGATGCGGCGCGATCCTCCGACCCCATCTACGCCGATCGCATCTAGGAGGAATTTCGGAGGGATAGAGGGTGTAAAGTGGATTCGACAGTTGGACACATCTGGCCACTAGCTTTTCAGTGGTTTACAAGTCTTCCAGTCGGCTCAGGGGGTCAGAGATCCAGGCGAAGTGGGCTCTGCCCAGTTAGCGGAGTTATCTAACGGACTCCAGCCCTTTGGGCTCTTGCAACCCAAGTCTAAGCTGATGATCCGCTCACAAGCCCCTATCCCTTCAGCACCCCCCGCGCTGACCCACGCAGACAGAAAGGATGCGTAAACATGGACTGAGGCGAGTGGATCAGCGGCGGGTCTTGATTCCTTGCAGACTCGGCGCCCTCCGTCGCCAGATCAGGTTCCAGTGGCCTCATCTCTCGGGGGCGCCTTCGCCGATCCGTGGATCGGGCGCCCACGTGCCAGATCCTCGCATCCGTGATGAGGAAGCCACATGCGAACCCCACCCCACCACCCCCCTCGGAGAAGTCCTGGGATGGTGGGTAATCCGAGTTTCTGAATCAAGCGTCGGGGGGGGAGGGGCATCGCCCCCCGCCGACAGCCCCACCTCGACCCCCGTCGCGGGCAGCCACCGCGCGCCGACGGCGCCCCCCCCCGTCGCGGCGCGACGGCCCGTCGGGGCGGGGTACACCCCACGCTCAGCAAGACACCCACAGCAGGGCCGACGGCACCGCCCCCCCCCCGTCGCGGCGCGACGACGAGGCGAGGCTGACCCCCGTCGGGGCGGGGTACCCCCCACGCTCAGAAAGACACCCGGAGCATGGCCGACGGCATGGCCTCCTGGCAGTCCAGTGCCGGCCCGCGCGGCCGCCGACGCCGCCACTCCGCGCCGCGGCCCCGCCGCCGCGTCGTCGTCTTCGTCGTCCTCGCCCTCCTCGTCCTCGTCCACCTCGTCCTCGTTGTCCTCCTCGTCCTCCTCCTCCTCGTCGTCCTCGTCCTCGTACTCGTCCTTGTCCTCGTTCTCGTCGTCGTCGTCGTCGTCCTCGTCCTCGTCGTCCAGGTCGGTCTCGTCCTCCTCGTCCTCCTCGTCCTCGTCGTCTTCGTCGACCTCGTGCTCGTCCTCGTCGTCGTCGTCGCCGGGGCGGGGCGCCGCCTCGGGGGGCCCGCCCCCCTGGCCCGCGTGCCCTCGAAGCTGGGCCCCTGCGGCCCCCTCGCCGGGGGGCCCGCGCCCGCGCCCGCGCGGCCTCTCCAGGGCCACCAGGAGCGTGCTCCTTTGTTGCCTGGGGCATAACGGGCATTACAGTCCCCGGCCCCCCCCGCTATAACGCCACGCCCCCCCCCCCCCAGTACGCTCTGGGCGCTGCCGCTGTGCGCGCGGCCGGGGGGGAGGCGTTACGTTGTACCTCCCCCCCCCTCGGCCCCCCCCCCCCCCGTATAATGTCCATGATCGCCGGAAGAAAAGAAACGCGCTCCAGGGCCACCACCAGGGCGCGACGTTGGTCGCGCCTCGGGCGTCGCGCTTCGCGGTCGCGGCCTGGGCGATTTCCGAGCGTGGCGCAGGTTCCTCATGTTGTTCCCGGGGATGGGGGGGGAGCGTCGTCGTCCTCGTCTTCGTCGCTTTCGTCCTCGTCGTCCTCGTCGCCGTCCTCGTTGTCGTCATCATCGTCGTCGTCGCGAAAGCGCGAAGCGCGAAGATCATCGCGCTTCGCGCTCCGCGGGGCGCGACGCGTGACGAACAGCTTTGTCCTATAGACTCCGAGCCGCGCGTGGCCGTGGTTGGCGACGAGGTGCCCCTACCGCTACTTACCCTTCCCTCGCTCTCGCCTCTTTGGGCCTCCCTCCCGAGTGCGTGCGAAAGTCTCCTTCTTGACGGCTGTCGCACCCATCGTGTTCCTTGCGTCCTGAGGGCGTCTTTGGATGATCCTCGGCGGAGTCCAAGCCCCCAAGCCCACAAACAAACACAACCAAAAAGGGACTCCCTCCCCCCAGCCCACGTATGCGCGTGGCTGAAGATGGGGTCGGAGCGTCGCGCAGCATCACTGATGCAGCGCCGAGGCATCGCCAATGCATCACCAATGTATGGCCAGGGCCTCGGAAGAGGAAAAGAAGGCACCTATGCCGGGCCTATGCCGCTACCCTTCTTTTGTTTTTTCCCCCTGGCTGGGTTTCCTGGGAGGGGGCCTCGCTGCCACGGCTGGATTCGCCTTGGCATCCTGGTCAGAACACATCCCGGGAGAGGCCAGGGGGGTACTCGGAAGAGGACTAGGCTCCCCTACCGCCATCCTTCCCTCGTTGTCCCCTGGGGGGGTTCCTGGGAGGACTCGCCTTGGCATCCTGGTCTGAACGCGCCCCAGGAGAGGCCTGGGGGGGAAGCGGTACATATCGGTACCTTTTGAGTCCCCAAAGGACCTTAGGAGTGGTCGGCGATCGAGCCCCCCAGATTCTCTGTTTTTTGGGTTTCCTGGGCCCTCGCTGCCACGGCTGGACTCGCCTTGGAATCTTGGCCAGAACGCGCCCCAGGAGAGGCCTGGGGGGGTAACGGTGCACATCGGTACCCTCTGGTTCCCCCAAGGACCTTAGGAGGGGTCGGCGATCGACCCCCCAGGAGTCTCTCTTGGACCGGCTGCACCGTAACGCTGCGGCGCTGGGTCTCTGCGGCGGGCGATGGCTGCCGCCCAGCCATTCCTGAGCTGATGAGTCTGTTTTCCACCACCATCACCATCAGTTGGAGTGGGAGGGGTTCCTCCTCCTCCTCCTCCTCCTCCTCCTCCTCCTCCTCCTCCTCCTCCTCCTCCTCCTCCTCCTCCTCCTCCTCCTCCTCCTCCTCCTCCCCCCTCCAACTTATGGTGGTGGTAGTGGGAAACAGGCCCATCATGAGTTGGAGGTGCTGCTGAAGGGGCTGCACCCGCGGCCCCAACCGACGCTTCCAGTCGGGCCGAGGTATAAAGCCCGAGGCTGGTTTGGGGAGTGTACCCTGCTGTCCTTTGTGCTTGTTGGATGCCAGTGCGCATCCTGGGGGTGGCACCCTTGGCTGTCCTCTGTGTGCGTTTGGCCGACGGGGGCTCTCGTGTTCCCGAGGGATGCCCCCCTGTCCGAGGTCCGACTGTGCCCCAGCCGCCACCACCACCGCCCTGGAGGAGCGCTGGCTGGCGC